CTCTTAGCCTACAAATACCAAGAATATGTATAAACTAGCTAAATGCTGATTAATTTTTCTTCTGAAAATTAAATCTAAATATACGTTTTATGAACACGTTAACAAAAATTAGTTATATTATAGTAACAATATAGGTATACATTTTTTTATCCTTTTTTAGAGTATTTCACGAAAACAACGTTTTAATATATTTGACCATCTCCTGTAAGTGGTATCTGATTAGAATTTTAACTTGTGTGTATATTTTTGTTATGTTCATATCTGCTTCTTCATAAAGCCTTATATATTGAACCGTGTGAAAAAACTGGCCCTCAAACAAATATTTCTACATAGTCAAATGTCTGACCCTGTGATTTATTAATTGTGATAGCAAAGACAGAAAAATTGATGTTGAAGGGAAAATGCATAAAGGTATAACTTTTCATAAAAATTGCTAAATTGACTAAATTTTTAAAAATCTCGCATTTAAATTGAAAAACATAAATAATAATGTATTGTAGTGCCATCTATTGGGTTGAAAAGATATTTAAGCTGTGCTTGACACAGACACTGGTGTTTATATATAATATATGATCTTTGATTTAATGTATAATGGCATTCATATTTTTGAGAATATTCAAAGAGTTTGCTGCAAATATGATAATAAATATTTTTAAAAATTCACACAAAATTTCGAATTGACTGGGATTTAAATGCGAGGCTTCCCTATAACCACTGTGACACCAAACCTTTGTAATCCTGTTATTCTGGTTTTTCCTAATATTGTATGATTTTGCTCTACACGTGACGACCTAACAACTAAAAAAGTTATACAAAATCCCCACTCAACTGGAATTTGAATGCGAGACTTCCACTTGAGATTATAACCATTAAGCCAATTTGAACAGTACTAACAAAGTGACCATTACAAACATAGAGTAGCTTATATATATATATATAGATAGATAGATAGAAGTGTATTTTTTTTTAAATTAGAAAGTAGGAATGGGAGCACCAAAAAGTAAGGACATATGGTAGGAATGGGTGGGTTAACATTGCAACACTTGGTGAGTTTTACATGGTGCAACCTCAAAGTGGGTGTGGCCATCATTCCGCCCATCCTACTTCGTGTGCTTTTTGTAACTTAGTAATTGTTCAAACTAAATGAAAGGTCTACAATACCATACAAAAGTATTTACCCCCCCCCCCTGCAAAGTTTCCACATTTTGTTGGAATCTGCAAATATATTCCAAATGAGAAAGCTAAAAACGCTGATATTTTGAAAGTTAGATTTTTAAAGAAAATTAGAATATTCTCAATTTCATACGTATATAACCCCTTTGCTATGGCAACCGTAAATCAGTTCAGGTGCAAAAGATCAGTTTGAGAGTTCACGAAATTAATGTAATGGTCTTTGTCTGCATGTAATCAAAGTGGTCTAACTTGACTTCAGCCATAATTCACGTAGTGATACGACAAACCAACCATGAAGACCAAGGAGCTTTCCAAACAAGTCAGGGATAAATTGGTAGTAAAGCACAGATCAGGAGAAGATTACAAGAAAATTTCAAGTCGCTGAATATAACTTTGAATACAGTAAAGTCCATCATTAAGAAGTGAAATGTGCTTCATATCACCCAGTCACTACCCAGATCAGGCTGCTCTTCCAAACTAAGCAGCCAGGCAAGCAGTAAACTGGTTAGGGACGCCACTGTGAAGCCAACAGTAACTTTGAAAGATTTGCAAAGTTTCATGTCTGAGATGGGAGTCACTGTTCATACATCAACAATTTCCCTGTTCCTGTATGGGCGAGTGGCAAGAAAAAAGCCATTAATGAAAAAGAATCATATTAAATCTCGTATGGAGTTTGCAACAAAGCATGTAACTGATACTGCAGATATGTGGCATAAGGTTTTGTGATCAGACAAGGCAGAAATTGAACTTTTTGGACTAATTTCAAAGCATTATGTCTGATTCAAGCCCAACACAGCACATCACTCAATCAATACCATTCCAACTGTCAAACATGGTGGTGGCAGCATCATGTTATGGGGATGCTTCTCATCAACAGGGACTGAGAAACTTGTCATGATTGAGGGGAAGGTGGGTCGTGGAAAGTACAGGCAAATTCTAGAGGAAAACCTGCTTGAGTCAGCCAAGAATCTAAAACTGAGTCAAAAATTCACATTTCAGCAGGACAATGGCCCAAAGCACAAGGCCAAAACCACATTGGAGTGGTTTCAAAAGAAGACAGTGAATGTCCTGGAGTGGCTCAGTCAAAGTCCTGACTTGAATCAAATAGAAAATTTATGGCAAGACTTGAAGGTTGCAGTCCATCAACGATCCCCAATGAACTTGTCAGATGTGGAGCAATTTTGCCAGGAAAAATGAGCAAAAATTACACCATCACATTGTTCAAAGCTGATAGAGACCTATCCAAAAAGACTCACAGTATAATTGCTTGCTAAAGATGCTTCCACCAAGTACTAACTTAGGGGTTTGAATACTTATACAATCAACAAATTTAAATTTATATACCTTCTTAGCATGTTTTGCTGACATTCAACCTCCTTCACACATAACAATGTTAAGTTTAATAATTAAGAGTTTTTAACAAAAACAAGTTCATTTAAAAATTGTTCACCTTATTTGTATTTCATCAAAATGTGACATTATTAGTAGGGGGGAAGTACTTTTGCAAGGCACTGTAAAAAGCTAAAGTTCTCTGTTGTAAACTTTGTTTCAACAATCAAGTACAACTACATGTATGTAATCAAATTACGTGACCCTAACGAAATTCATGACATCATAAGGGGGATGTTTGATGTTGGAAGTGAGAATTCTAATAGTCATACTTTACTTATGGGAGACATTATAGCTATCTGACTGGTGGGCCAAAAAAAAAATAGAAAAGGGTGGCAGCCTTTTCTTTCACTGGAATAATTGCTTTTTGCATATTCGACATTATTGTTTTTAACCTTATCTCTATTCTTGTAGTTGCCCCCCAGTGACACAGCGGTATGTCCACGTTTTTTTTTTATCTATCTGATACAGCTGATCATGTGACGCATGCACATAAGTAGTCATGCACCCGAACCTGATATGAGAGCAGGTTGTTACTTGGCAACTCACAAAGCGTGCTCATAAGCATAAAATATGACTACTAGTGTATTGTTAGCTCATTAGTAGTGTTGCAAAATGGCTATAAGGTTATAAGTAAAACTAAGAAAACATTTTTAGCCAAGGTAACATAATTCAACCATGTGCATTTAGATTTGCATAAGGTGAAGGCAGGAGAGAGCTATGCCACACTAATAACATTAGTCAGTCAGATTGACAAATTTGTGGTTTAGTGAAATTTTCGTTTTTACTTTACCAACTTTCTCAAGTGCTTTGATGGTTTGTTACTCTGTATTTGGTTTGTTTACTATTCAATAGTGTGTGTGTAAAGTGTTTAAAAATTTTGTTTATATGCTGTTTGCAGTGTGTTTGGGATTTTAATTTGTATTGCACATCTGGCCCATTCCTACTATAAGTACTACTGTGCTTATGATAATAACTTCTGTAACCAACCAAACCATGAATTTCAAATAGTAAACTAAACAGGTTTTATGTTAAAAAATAATTTGACTTATCACAATTGATGCCAAATTTTTGTTGTTAAAAATATCTCACATTTACATATTTTAGAAATCAGTGTATATTTGTATGAATGTGTTTAACATACCAAAGGAAACTTACGATGCAAACAAAATAAGCAATTTGCCCCCCAGGTGTGTTCCTATCATCAAGAATTTTTGATTATTTACAGCACATGGAAAAGCTAGATAGCTTGTTTGTTGAAATAGATTTGTTTTATTTTGTAACTAACATACCTTTAACTACACGTAAACTAATAGTTACACTCTCTCTCTTTTACTAGATTGAGCTTTTGATGAAATTTCCATGAATAAACAATTTGAAAACAAAATCTTAACATTCCATGAAATAAAACTAACAAAGTGTAAACATACAATATCGTTCATGTCCATAACTCTATAGATACAATGGAGGTTGGAAAAATAAATAAAAACTTCAAATTATCATTGTAGCAAATAATTATAATAATGACAATGAAAAATCAGTTATGTAGTTGTAAACCTAATTAGTATTTGCAAGTAATTTCAAGTATAAGGAATGTGTTTATTGTAAAATGTATTTTATGTTGAGTATGAATCAAACAAACCAATTATATGTTGCTATTTGTTATTTTCAAGCAACTTAAAAGCATGACTAAGAAAATGTAATATTGTTCCTCAGTTACTGGTGAGTCTCCCAATAGGTTAGTGGTAAACTTACTGACTTAACATGTTAAAATCCAGGGTTTAATTCCTCATGATGGACAGAGTGCAGATGGCCCATTGTGCAACCTTATGCTGAAAAACAACAACAAACAAACAACAGTCTAGTGGCCCTAGAAAAATATGTAAGATAACAAGGAAGAGTCTTAAAGGTATTTCCCATAATGCCTTTTACAAACTGAAATATATTCTTCAGTCTTATGCTTGTATGATATGTGAATAATTTGAGGAAAATAATTATACCATTATATAATAATAATATTATTCACCTAATCAAGTGAAAACTGAATGAATTGAGATTTAGTGGGTTTATCCTTTAATGCCAGGTAAACTTATAATATATAAAAGATAAACAGAAAGAAATAACAGTAAAAATAGAGTATCAATTACATCAAGGCAATTATTGGCCAACAAAAAAGTTACAACATAGTCTTAGTACCAAGTGCAATCTGTAACACGTATTTAAATTTGAACACAATATTTAGAATAGATAAATACTTTTAAAATACTGCATTAAGAAAAAAAGTATAAAAAACACTTAATGCATACATTAAAGCATTCAACAATAAAAAGTGGAGAAAACATAATACAGTTAAATGTACAATAAAAATTAAGAAAAACTCCAAAATATATTTAAATGACAAGAAAACCAAAATCCTGTAGTATAAATTAAATGCATAAAAAATCATTATCAATAAAAACAATGTCAGTCTGTAAAGGAAAAAAAAAAAGAGGATACACAAAATACCTAGCAGAGAATTTGTTGACATGTACAAAAAAGTAATGAGAAAGGACATGAAAAGAAACATAAACAATTAACAATACTATGAAACTCAAAACCACCTAATGTAAAAACCATTTAAGTTTAGCATTATGGTATTACCAAGTTTTTAAAATTTCAAATGCTTTTTTTTATTTATGAGATGTATAAATTTTGGCAATGAGCTAGTGCAGTTACCTCTTTAAATCTTTTAGCTATGGTAATTAAATTTTCTACAAAATATGTAATGAGACTATTGAATTATTTCAAAACAGGCCAATTAGAGTTTAATCTGACACTTGTTCTCAGTCCTTTGAGAGATTAGAGTGAGTTGCAAGACTCATTTTGATTTTAGGTGTCACAGCAATTGCAATTTTTAAAACTTTCCAGAAATAAAGAAATTACAAAAGTCCGAGTAATCTATTTGAGTTGGCATTTTTGGAAAACCTGGAACTTTTCAGAACACAGAAAGAAACTGGAATGATTGAAAATCCTTAATGTATTGGAAAATTCTGAATTGTTACATTAATTTGCTATGAAAATTACTAAGATAGTCTACTGTATACATTTTGCAACTATGCCTCTCTCTTCAAGGAATGTTTTCCCTGAAAATAAATCTTTTTTAACATATTTAATTTATTTGATTATTTGTAAATCTTGCTTTTTTACTGTGAGAAAGCAGTAACTCTACATATACCTATCAATGTATTTTAAAGCTGGAACTTTATTCAACAGTTTCTTTCTTTTTTTTTTTACATTCCTGATGTAGCAAAAGCAATATGTTTCGAAATGGCAATTATTTTAAGTCATGAAATATTTTCTTCTTTCTTTCTAAAACTATTTCAGTATTAGTATAATTAAATATGAAATGCAATCAAAACCAATGTTGAAAGTTTCTTAATCATACTTTGAAATTATATAAAACCAACTATTATTAAAAAAAAAAGACACTGAATATATAAAGAAAAGAACAGTATTATGTTTTATAATAATAATAAATACACACATTGTAATAAGCACTCACAATAGTTTTAAGAGTAAAAATGCCACTTGAAGCACGTATTTTAAGAATTAAAAATTTTTCTTATGGGTATTAATAACTATTTAGAATACTTGATAATTATATCTTAATAATGACAAATGCTGTTATGAAGCACAATGACAACAACAAAATTGGTACAGTTACTAATTCTGACGTTTTTAAAATGACTTGAGGTGATCAAGTAATGCCATATGTTAAGAAATGATCTATACAAGCTAACATTTTTGAGTTTCCCCAGTGATCAGTGGCAGGCCTAGCTAAAGTCAGCAGCACAGGGATCCCGGCCACCACTCATGTGCGTTTTTTTGAGTGGCACGAGGTTGCATGAGTTTTGGCTCTTGGTATTTTCATATTATTGTTCTTCACTGACATCAAAAATCTTGCCTTTGTTTTCTGGATCTCCAAACTCCATAACTTTTCTCTTTTCTTCCTCGATTGTGCTACGATGACACAGGAGAAGGGTAACTAGTCCATCCTTACCTTCAAGCCCCATCACTACTGCTCTACCATCTGAAGAGAACTCACAGCAAGAAATTGCTTGATCAGGTGTGAACACTGCAAGGCAAATGCCTGCAACAAGGCAAAAAATATTTACTTAGTAAAAAGAAATGATACAAAATAGATTAATTTTTTTAATATTAACTTTGCTAAAAAATATTTTTGTGATAATAAGTAAATGTTTTTTCAATGTAATTAAAGCATCAAGAAGAATCCAAGAATGCACATATGTATTATAATTTAAATGTTATGGCATACTGATTTGCTATTTCTAAAGATTGTTAAGTACATGATATTAAAAAGATTTTTAACATACAAAATCTGCAAATCACAAGAACTACATTTTTACTTTGTTTGGAGTTTGATAGGTAGTGTGATGCCACCAGAAATTAATTGCTTTTTGTAAGAATATGTAACAGACCTTTCTGGAACAAAACATTCATACACTCAGATAATAAAAATTTTTTCAAAACAGGGAATTAGAACTTCCAAGATAGGGATATCCCTTGTACTTAAAGGCATTGGAAAACAAAGAAATATGGATCAACATGGGGCACCAGGGCTAAGCAGTAAGAGACTTGCAACAAGTCATACCCCAGCTATGGTAAGCAAAGTGCTGCATTTTGTAACATGAACAAAAAAGTCAGCATAAAAAAATCTACAAATTCCAAGCAACAGTATACAACATAATCAAGAAGAATCTCCATCTGTAAATGAGGCAAACAGGGTATGGGTTCACCAAGATAAGGCTTCCAGTCACACTTCCCATTCAACTGTCAGATACTTCAAACAACTGGAGAATGAAACTGGTATTTTTGTGCTATTTCATATGATTACACATCTGTAAAGTTGTTGAATGCAATATCTATGGATTTATGTGAAATCAGACTGTGGAAAAAGGTGCTGGGTAACCATTGCCCTCATACTCTAGATAGCTTATGGAAAGCCATCAGTGAGTAGTGTTGTGATTTTGATATGATAGCCATATAATGGAGACTTTGGCAAGGCAAACTACACTGCAGGGCTATTGTCAAGATGCATAATCATTAGATAGATGACATGACAACTGGATATGGCAAATTAATCTGTAACATGGTGAAGCTTCAAAATAATTTAATATAATGTTCTTAACCTTTGTATATACATATTTGAAATGTCTGAATGTGGGAAAATATCTATTATACATTATCTGAAATAGTTTAAAAAATATACAGGTCCAACAGAAAATACGAGAGAAGATATGCTTCAGGAGGCATCTTCAAAAAAATGTTTTCCATGAAATAAAGGAGAGTTAAGGTATGTGGGATAACTAAAAATATGTATATGTATAAAAATATTTTAACAAGATTTTCAGATAAATAATTTTGTTTACAAGAAACAGGATATTGTGTAAGAATTCATGTTCCCCCATCTTTTTATATTTCAATGACACTAAGTTTGGTGTACATTAAATGTATCTGAGCTGTATATAACCAATTACCAGGGTTCCCACCCTTGATTGAAAACAATTTTCCAGAACATTTTTAGTGCTTTTTCATGACACTTTTACATATAGTCTTGCATCACCCCTCATATATATACCCCATTTTCACACCTTTTAATTTTTTTAATTTCCTTTAATTAACTAAGTTTTAATTAAATTAGTTGTTCAATAAAATGAGTAGCTGCTATTAAATCAGATAATGAATTTCTTAAAGTCATAGTTTTCCTTGACATTTTTCAGTCCTTGAAGTTAAATTTAAAAAATTTCCAGGATGCTTGGGAAACATGAATTGTTATTTAAGCTCTATGCACTTGAGTATTTGGTGTAAAATAGTGACAGATTAAGTACTATTATAATCATCAGTATTTGGTGTAAAATAGTGACAGATTAAGTACTATTATAATCATCAGTATTTGGTGTAAAATAGTGACAGATTAAGTACTATTATAATCATCAGTATTTGGTGTAAAATAGTGACAGATTAAGTACTATTATAATCATCAGTATTTAGTGCAAAATAGTGACAGATTAAGTACTATTATAATCATCAGTATTTGGTGTAAAATAGTGACAGATTAAGTACTATTATAATCATCAGTACTTGGTGTAAAATAGTGACAGATTAAGTACTATTATAATCATCAGTATTTGATGTAAAATAGTGACAGATTAAGTACTATTATAATCATCAGTATTTAGTGTAAAATAGTGACAGATTAAGTACTATTATAATCATCAGTATTTGGTGTAAAATAGTGACACATTAAGTACTATTATAAGGTACATAATCACCAGTTATTTTGGATATTAATCAGTTTTTCCATAAAGCAATTTTATGAACATCATAAAACAACAATGAAATTGATGCATCAAATAGACATTTTCTTCTTCTGAATCTAATCAATCTGTTGTCATTTTAGCACGACATTCAAAACATTTATTTTACAATGAAATAAACTCGCTGTACAAATTTAAACAACAAAGTTGATAGCCTCATAAAGTATGAAACATTATCATTCAGTGAAGTAAAATTACTGGAATTAATAAGTCTATTGCACGCTGCCTGATAATTCCAAGAGGAAGGTTCTTACCAATACCTTTTAATTCAATGTACTTTTTGATCAAGCAAAACATCAGCAAAATAAAAACAAACAAAACCTGAAAACTCAGGCATAACTTTGGATCTGTAGTATATAGTAATATGGTTATAGGATTTCTAAACTAATGAAAAAAGTTAGCCACTACTCAAAAATGTCTAAAATTTAGAGAACATATGACCTTTGCCATAACAAAAGATACTTTACTGGCACATGGTTAGAAGGGGTTTAAATCAAGTGTTTTCAGTCAGAAAAACATGAGTATCAAAGATAGTGGAATTGCCCCTTGATCATAACTCTAAATTGAAGGTTGTGTGAATTAAAAAAAGCCAAACTTTTCAATATCTAAACTAAACTATGTCCTAAACCACAAGAAGAACAATTCAGAAGTGTACTTGCTGTAATTCTTGCTTGTTTAAATGCACATAATGTTAATATATAAAAACTATAAACAAAGCACAACAGGCCAAAATATGGGCTCTTCTGTTTCTCTTCAACTTAGTGGCCTTTATATTTCCTTTTTTTTTTTGAAAAAATTTTGGTAGGAAATATGCAAATATAAAAGAAAAACAACAACTGAAGTTTAGTTACATTTACAATAAGAGAGAGAGAAAAAATTAAATAGCCAAAATGCAAGCAGAAGTGTATTTGAGACACATGAAGTACAAGAAAGACTTCAGATCATGTGTTAGAGCATAATTGAAGGGGTAAATGAAAAAAACAACAAAAAACACTTTAGATAGAAAATTCAAAACTCTATATCACACAAAGGGGAAGAATGAAATAACTGTAGATTTATATCTTTACATTCCTTGGGCAATGTATATTGTATTTAATATATATATATATTCAGCACAGTTTATTTTGATGGGTTTTCCACCCAGTTACACATGATGTTTCTTATTTTCTAACTTATATAAATATCTATAAATAAATTATGCAAAAGGTAATGTGAAAGTGATGAAATTAGAAAATAAATGGGTAAATAAGTATACCATATTAAAACTTTGTACTGGATAACTTTTTGAACTATAATTATTATTTTTTTAAAGTCTATTGGTTATGATTGTGTAATTGTTACTGATAAACACATACAACTCAATAACATTTTCCAAAAATGAATTTCTGTGCCCATTTATATTCAACCTCTCTTTACATCTACATAAGATTTGCAGTAATGATGCTTTGAAGTAGGGAACTTTCATAATTTCTTCTATATCAGATGTGGGAGGCAAATTAAAAGTGTGTGTGTGTTTGTGGGAGGCAAGGCTTATTTGACTGAGTGAAGCAAGGAAATGTGTGCTACAGGTTCTTGGTTAAAATCTATACATTCTTCTGCTTTTCCTGAGAATAAATTTCCTACTATTGATACACTTTTACTGGAAGTGGTTGAATAGCGAGGAGGCCTGGGCACTTCCTATACCATTGTTTAATTAATCCAGGATTTCAATGCATAATAAATTAGCTTATTGATTTGAAAGTTAATGATACATCATAACTACATTGTGCTTCCATTTTATTAAGGGTAGCCCTTACACAGAAACTCAAGTGTAAGAATGGTAATTAACAGTAATCAATAGCTTTTGTAAATAAAAAATAGAAAATTGAATCAGTTTACCTTTGGCTAGATCCCACAGACGAATACTTCGGTCTTTCCCACTTAAGTCAAAAGTAAGACATCTGGTTCCTGATTCATCTATCTTTATATTATCAACTGGTGCACTGTGTCCACGCAAGATAAATCTGGTAAGATATGGAATTCAATGTTTTTCACACAAGACTTCACAAGGTTCTGTGTTTCAGCTACAATACACCTCACATAATTGACAAAGTATAAAATCAGAGACAATAATAGTACTCTTATAAAATATAAAACTTGTATTTAAAGGATCACTCATGGGTGAATTAACCTGATGTAAGTCTGTATCAAATCTAAGTAATTTATATAGCTTAAATAATATTTACAATGCGACTAAACCTGTTTCTACAATAATTCTAACTGTTGATAACCAGAAATATAAAAAGCCTGTTCTAGAAACTTATTTATATTTTTTAAAATAAGAGTTGTACATTTGAAGTGTATCCCATTTTTATTAGTACCTCATTGTAACTATTTAAAACATTTATAACACAGATAAAAACTACTTCCAAAATCTGTAGATTTGCATTAGTTGAAAATCAAAATTAGTCTTATGGAAGTATATCAAAGAGGTTTGACCCATTACCTGCGTCCACCAGTGGCCAAATCCCATACTAAGATCCAGGTGTTTTCTAAGCCATTCACCACACAGCCACCTTGTGATGAGATGGCTATGCTGCAGCTGCTACTTTCAGGTTTCCACTTTTTAAACAAGGTACCACTTTGAAGATCATAAACAATGATGAAATTAGGACTGCTGTCATTTAATTCCTGTAAATAATTATAAACATCTTTATTATAAGATCATTTAAAGGAAGGGATGAATTTATTAAAAGAACAGTAAATTTAAAGCCATGAATTCAAAATTCTGAAAACATTGAACAATTCATAAAATTCTTTAATGCCCACTCAGTTCTCCAGCACCATATGCTTGTCTATGTAATGTTAACTGACATCAAAAGGGAGCATTTCAAGACATCTCTCACAACACCTCAGATGAACAATATTTGTGTCAGCCTTGAACTTGTCTCTTAAGATTGTTCAGCATTACATTTTTGCAACTGATGGACTTGCATAGCTATTTAGCTTAGGGCACTGCTCTTTAAATCCCATTCTTAAGTCAAAAGGAGCTTTCCAAGCCCCCCCTCTGTCTTGAAAACCATTGCTGACCCTAGAAAGTAACCCCACTTCAAATTAATAAAGCTCACTCATGAATGTGAAGGGCCAATTTCATTGGTCTGAGCACTTTAATTTCTAAGCTCTGTGTAGTTCAAAAGTTTGTACTTCTATACAGTTATACACGTAAATACATTCATTGATTAAAATATTTTATTTTTTCCCAACTGCCTTGAATCCAATCAGATAGTTGCATCTTTTATGCTGAGAATCATAAAAATATCATAATTAGATATAAGATTTACTTCTTACTAATGGATAGAAAGACTTTTTAAAGACTTACTCTACAAACAATGGCCACATAATGTCCATCACTACTAATTGCTGATAAACGAGTCACAAATTCATGGTGTGGTATTCGCAGATCATACATGAGCTTTCTACTAGCTAGGTCCCAAACCAGTAGTGGGAAAGGTTTTTGTGTTTCATCTCCACACACACATATTCTCCCACTGGCACTAACCAATAAGCTGTTCAAAAACCTGAAAGAAATGTAGTATTTCATTAAAGGCACATTTATGGTGCTTAAACAAGTAGATAACAAATAAAAAATTAAATATGTTAAAAGTATTCATAATACTCTATAAGAAAATAAGATACTTTGTATGTTGGATCTGCAAAATATTTTACAAAGAATTGCTAATTTAGAGATATAAATTTAACAAAAAATAGCATATTTTTTCAAAGAAAATCACAAAATATTGTATTAATGTAGTTCTCAAGTTATTAATTATAACTTTTACTATACTTCTACTGTAGAATTTCAATGAGTCATTTCCAAACATTCCCTCAATAGACAACAATGTGTACATGCTTGTGGATCCAGTTTGTTTGTTTATTTGTTGTTAAACATAAAGCTGCACAATGAGCTATATGTGTTGTGCCCACCATAGGCATCACACTCTTTAACTTGAAGAGTTATAAGCCCTCTAGTTTACTGCTCAGCCACCTGAAGGATTGTGATGTAGGTTATAACAGTTTACAGCTTATATACATCATCTGAATATAGCAGTAACATTATTGTGAATTGTAACAAAATTTGCATGGAAAAAATAATATGATTACTGCAAGTGTCAACTTCATATTTCCATTATTGCATAGCATTCTTTCAGGATTATCAACTTGTGTTAAATCATTGCTGACATTTCACTGGGATATCATTAGCAGTTATAAAAATCCTGGCAGATGCAGTTTAGAAACAAAAACGTTGTTTACAAGTAACCTCAAATATTATAAAATTATATTGCAGCATAGTGATAAAAAGCTGTAAATACTGATTTTCTACATTTATATGCTTAAAAATCTGTCAAACATGTAAAACAATTATCAAAAATTGTTAGAAGCAATTGAACAAGGTTAAATATGAATATTTTTTCAAAGGACCACCTGATTGGAAAGAATTTCCTTACAAAAAATTAATTATTGTGCATAACTTCAGAAAAACCCACATATGCTACTTCATGATAAAAATATACAATAGCTGAAAGTTTGGGAACAAGTTGTTCTCCACAGAACTATGGTTGGTACGTTTTTAATGAATAAAATGTTATAGATATCATTAATGACTTTACAAATACATTATAACAAATGGTTGGTACGTTTTTAATGAATAAAATGTTATAGATATCATTAATGACTTTACAAATACATTATAACAAATCGTTGGGGAGCTTTTGGTAATATTCTTATCAGTGTAAACAAAGCAACTTTTATTATCCTAACATTGATATATATAATTACAACACAGAAATATACTGTTTTTTGAAAAAAGTGGACTTGGAAATGGAAACTGTGCCACAGAAACTCCTAAGGTAAAAAAAAGTTAGCTAATCATAGTATAAAAAATTGATAGATCTTAAGTTTGTAATTCTTAAAGCTTGCAATTTGTACCATTATTGAATGTTAACAACTAATTCTTTAAAGATCAGTTCAATCACTATCACAATAACATGTTTGGCTGTTAATTTGCCTTATACTTGGGAACCAAAATGGCAATCTCTAGATTGTTAAATTTTGTACTAATTTTTGTCAAATAGTATTTCTACAAATATAAAAATATTGGATTAAAAACTTTTCCCAATTGATTAATATTTTCAATCTTTAAAATTAGTGATGGCATATACAGCAAAGGCATCAGGATAATCTGTTGCATTTTATGATAAACTAGTGTAATGCCCATCAAAAATGATGGGGCAAATACTACCACCCTCACCTCATAGTACACCCTAACCTCACATTTCATAGCTAACTGAAGTAAATAAATTTTGTGAAATATAGCTTGATAAACAAAGAGGCAGAAAAGTGCAGTCAAGGCAGCCAATTTTTTGTAAATTCCTTTGTGAGCCAATCAAAATTAAGATCATTCATGAAATGAATTCGTGGCATATTCATAGAATAATTATTGGTAAAAATTAGTTAGATTATAAACTTCTAATACATAGAAAAGCCAGTGCATTTTGGTAATGCTACATTCCAACAATGGCTTATATGTCATATTGCTTATGAACAAAAACATAACCTAATATTCTTGTTAGTCTATGTACTAAAAATATAAAATGAAATGTATAGACAACAAAACTGGAAATATATTTGTTGATTTCTTGATTTAGAGTCTCTGTTGATTAAAGAGGTTTTTTTTTTATTTAAAACGTTGGTGATATAACAGAAAATAGCTTAATTCAGAAATGATTTAAGTTTGAAATTGAATTAATATTTTTACTTTCATGATAAATTTTATGTACTTGGCTCTAGGCTAGGTGATCCCACAGTATGTCTTTACTTTAGGCTTATTATACCAACACTCACTACACTTATAAGATTTCATGCCCCCTTGCACCCCTGTCACTAAAATCATAATGGGTAGACAGTAATTGAACTATTCTATCTGGATAAATGCATTTTGGCTATTTTGAGAAATCTAGCATGATGTGACACACACTGGCTTTTATATAGTTTAGATGCTGAATAACTGGCAAAAATATATTCAAACAAAACACACCATCCAAAGATTTTCCTTTAATTTCTTAATTCTTCTTGTGAATAACATCAGAGATTAAGATTTTATACAAAAATAAAACTACTGATAAATAACTAGACTATTTAATGATACACTTACCTCTCCTTGCCTAATTTGAGGTGTCAGTTAACTGAATTTGTGGGTTATCTAACAAACCACAGTGAACTTCAGATTTATTTTAAAGTGAAAGTAAAGGCCTATCTATCAAGATATTGTACTTTTGAATGAGTCTGTAAAGTGCTGCTCCATTTCACAGACAAACAGTTTACTCTTGCCTTGATAACCAAACTTTAAGTGTAATAGGAAGTAAGAATTAATAAACCACAAAATAATAAACACTCTGTTTACTTACATTTTTACTGCATTTCTTTAGTAGTAGTTACTTCATCAGTATTGTCAACTTTTAAACTTAAAATATATTAGTAATAGTAATACACTTAGTGATTAAAAACAAAACTGTTAGGACTATTTTACTATGCTTTTCTAGCATTAAACAATATGAATTTTATCCTGATTTTGACTTGTTGTGGAAATTGAAAACTGTATGGGCAGAACTTGACTAAACTGGTCCTTCAAGGTTAACTTGGAAAACTGTCTATAACTTTATGCTTTCACAAAAAATAATGAATCAGTACAAAAACCTAATGAAAGTTTTTGTAGTTTTTACCTTGGTGACGGTATTTGCCTTGTAACCTATTTGTCAAAGAAAAATTTCTCTTCAGAATGTATTACAGAATTTATCATGGTGTTGTCCTGATTAATGCACTTATGGCAGCATTTTTTTTATTTCACTGTGGAATTGATGCCCCAATTCTGGGGATGTATTTTGAACTTATGATAATTCATCTCAGCAATATCAGATCAAGTATTTAAAAGATCAGTGAATATATAAAAAAAAATAATTTGTTGAAAGATTAAAATGCATTTACTGTGACCTACCTGTCCTCACCAACTTTAAAGGTTGTCTCCAAATCTCCTGTTTCTAGATTCATCATATTCAGATACATCCGATTCCGTGAAAGTGCTACAACATAGTTTTCATTATGTAGCCCAAAGTATGCCATCTTCTGATTCATCACACCTTTCAACTTTTTAAGAAACTTGCCTTCATTTAAATCATAAACTTTCAATTCCCGATTACACAACACCAAAGCACGATAAGCATCTACCATTTGAATATTTCTGGGTTGTGATACACCTTTAATTGTTCTGACAGGTGTTTGTTCATAAATATTCCAGAGAATTATTTCCTCACTTTCAGTAGAGAGTGAAAGTATATGAGTGAAGTCATCTTTCAACCAATAAAGGCCACAGAAAGATCTTGCAGTATTTTTATCACCAGTATCTTGTGACTGTTGATGCTCTAAATGCGGCGGTTGTAGGCAAGGCATGAGAGGAAGAAGACTTGGAGTAGGTGGCCAGCAAGCTGTATGAAAGATTGTTCTAATAGAAGAGAACTGTGAGTTATCAGTGATTGTAGCCATAATAGGCAATAGTCGGCCATACACTTGAGATAAAAATTGCAAACCATCATACCGAAGGGCATAACTGGAAAGCTGGATGATTTTTTGTAAAAGTAGAACTTCCTCATCAGTAGGAGAATGAGACTGATATATGGCAATGTCCTCTAGCACCTGATAGGGATCAGACCCTTGCAGCTTACTTTGTAGCCACTCAACATTGAAAAGAAAGTGTTCTCTAACCCAGCTGTCTTCAAAATGTTGCAGACAGTGAAATGGCAACTCATCAATTTTTCGACGATTGGGATGAAATTTATAGAGCAGTGGCTGGTCTAGCACAAACTTTTGGCTCATTTTTTCTGCTCCTTCCTCACTAGATTCAGATTTGTTTTTGTAATTTTTATGCTTTTCTTGGAAGTAGTTAATTAGTGCCACAGTCAAGGAGTTGGTTGTTACACCTACATGATTACAGTACCTTTTGCACAAAGATCTAAACATATTATTTTTCCAAGAAATTAAACACTTACCACCTACTATAGACGTTTTCAGAAACAAAGAAAGTTTTTTCTTTGTTTGATACCAAAGCAAATAAGGAAAGTAGCTAGGTGCTGATGCATTAGAAATAAGAAATGAGTGATCTAAAAAACTTTCTTCAGACGACACAATATCTAATACTTCAGCATCAGATAGTCCATGTTTTGCTGTGACTAGGAGCCCAAGTATAAAGCCCAAAGCAGCAGCACTTAAACATTTTTCTATCTCAGTTACAGAGTCCATAAACACCCCCTCACTTGTATGTTTGATTACAATATCATCTGGACCTTGGTCACTTTCCCACTCTGAGCTCTGATGAGCTAATAGTTCAGCATAGAGAGGGAAATTACATTTTTCAAAACACTCTTGAATGAGTTGGCGCTGTGAATCAGTTATCTTTCGGTCCTTCTTCTGTAAGACTTCTTCCACAAGGGATAAGCCTTCTTCTTGGGTTAAGCCAGGAACAAGAAGAAAGCTCTCTTCTTTCTCATTCAATAAGTTTTCCTAAGAGTAAGAAAACAATAAATATAATGCTGTGTTTTAAAAAACATTAATATATTGGTGTTTTAAATCAAGGCACAAAATCTCAAGAAGTTATTATTCTATTCACCCAAGAAAACTCTTAGACAAAAAAAAAAAAAAGGAATACAAGTACAACTAAAAAAAAATAAAACAGCTACCACAGAAGAAGGTATTATATTTATTTGGTTGGTAAATGTAGAAACAAAACAGTTGATTAATTCAATATTTTAGATTAGATTATATAATGTTTGTATTTTTTATGTGAAAAAACATGACATCCTATGAGTTGGTGTTTTCTACTTCATATGACGTATCTGAGAAAATGTGTCATTACATGCTTTATATTAAAATAGAGTTTACATAAATAAATTGTTGTTGTTATAAACTTGCATTAGATGCTTCATATTACCACGATAATTAGGGATGACTTCATATTTCTGTCTCCCAAGGGCTCAAAAATAAGTCTGTAGGCTTATAATGCTAAAAACCATGTTTTGATATCTGTGGTGGACACAGTACAAATACACCATTGTGTAGCTTTGTGCTTAACAACAAACAAACACACCAAAAATCATAATCCTGATATGGAAAGTTATTACACATTGCATAACTATTTATTATTCACATCTATAAAGGATTTACTGCAATGAAAAAGTTTCTGTATACACTGTGATCTCTCACATTAACTGAAACATTCTTGATGTTGGCATAGATTAGTACTGATCTACAAAGATGAATTACATACTGTAACACTAATGCCAAAGACAGATGTTGATCAAAAAACAGCCCACGCTAATAATATATTTGTCAACTTTTGGCTCCAATGTCAGGGCCAGTGCAAGCACAAGGCAAACAAAGCATTCGTCGAGGGTAGCAAATATAAGAGGTGGAAAAGTTTGTGTATGAACTAAGAAACAACACAAATTTTGTGGGTTGAAAACGATATTGATCTGGCAGTAAATAATAAAACTGTCCAAATGCATTGACTGTACTATTTATCCAAGACCACTAAAACTGTAGAACATTAGGTACTTACAATTGTTATTGTTTTGATTCAGGTCAAATAAAATCAATACAACTTGAAGGTTTGCCTAGGGCACTAAATACCTTTGTGCCAGTCCTGTCTAAAGCTATAATATTGTTAGAACATGAGCAACAACTGATGTGGCAAACTTAATGAAGTGATATGCATGATTTAAATTATAAATGCAAAATTGTGTAATGTAGGTGTATTTACTTAATGAAGATGAATGCTTTGGATCTTGCCAATAATTCTAGAGCTATTAACGTTTTGGAATAGGTAAAGAAAAATCTATATGTCTATTTTGATTATTCTCTTATCATTTATTAAGTTTTTGTACAAGCAAAACACCAACTATGTAGTAATTGCTCTAAATAATTATCAAAACAGCATTGGTGATGGCACATGTGTATAACCCAATTTCTTTACAACATTACTCGTATTTGATTCTGGCACTTACCTTTAGTTCCTGAAATTCATCAGTTTCATCTCGAACACTAAGTATAAGTTTTACATGCTTTGGCAGTTCAGCTGGCAACCACTGAAGGTCTTTACTGCTGAATGAATCAACCTGGTCTATTCCATCAATAAAAATTATCAATGGACGATGGGATGATACCTTGTCCATAATTACTTCAAGAACTTGGTTAGGTTCCCAACCACTCTAGTTACAAAAGTAGAAAAAATTAAATTTCATTCATTACATGCTTCACGTATATAGTTTGTTTCAAGACATTATCCATCATTGCAATACGTTTTTTTAAAGAAGTAGAAATAACTTCTATATAAATACATTATTTTATAATAGCATGTAATTACAATTAATTATAACATTCTATAACTTTTAGAAAGAAGGAAAAAATCTAGCTTGTAAGTATTGGAACAGGGAGCTTTTTAACTGCTTGTTTTCCCACTGATCTTGCTTGTGTTTTTTTTCTATTATTTACATTATATCTTAGCCCTCGCTGGATCAAAAATCCCCTCTAAGTAGCTTGATTCACTTTTAACTTTACTCATTCCCTGTGCACACACATTTTGTTCTAATGTTTGTGCAGCAGATAGAAGAGGGATTTGACAGGTTTGGTCACATATCTCTAGTTATTAAAAATTGATTGATGACTATTAGTACAAAAAGAATCTAGTAATTGATTTCAAATTATTGTTTTAAAAATATGTTTCTGACTAACTCCAAGACCAGTGTCTATTTTTTGAACAATATAATATTCAACCCCCCAGTTAAAAAATATTAGTTGCAACCATAAAAATATATGCAGGTGCTTAAATTTAACAGTAGTAATAGACCTTCATATGACTTTCTAGTTTTTCTTTTATATAATGGCCAAAACAATCTATTATTACTGATAAGTAATGTGTCAGTATTTCAGCAACAATATGCACCTAATAGTGAGGAAAATTCTTCTATGAATGATGTCAAGACAGTCTTCTCTGTCACTCAATATTACTTTACTTTAAACCAAAGTTTTAGAGAATTTTATAGAGAGTGTTTACAATAACTTATTTCATTCAGGGACCTTCATTAGTCTTGAATTCCCTTTTAAAATGTCCTCATATAAAATCTAGAAACAATATTCTAAAAGCATTTATAGATAACGTATTTTTATAACAATAGTTAGGCATGTTGGATTTTCAATATTCTTACCTCTTATTAGTATAATGTTATTTAATGATTTACTAAAGCATTAAAAACCTTGGTTTTTAGATCTTATTACAAGAATCATATTTTTTATAGTGACTTAATTACACTTAAATGTTCTCAACTGGATTATACTGGTTCCCTGTTAAACACAGATTATATAATATCTAAATATTTACTTACCAGAATAAGAACAGTTTATATTTTGACTAATAAAGTTTATTTTATAAGTTAAACTTGTGTAGCTTTGATAGTCTTCTTCATCTTACCTTTGATGCTAGAAATGGATGCTCACCAAAGAGAGCACAGCCTTGTTCACAAATACTGCGCAGAACTTGCTCAAGTGTTTTAGATTCAGATGTCACTCCCACAAAGCGCACAATAACAGGAGCAATTGGTAACCAATCGGAGCATAGTTGAGAAGCTTGAGCCACAAGGGCAGTTTTTCCACAGCCAGCAGGTCCATGAATAATGACAGGATGATTAGAATCAGAGATGATATAATTACGCAATTCTGCAAGAAGTTCTTGACGGCCAACGAATGAAGAAAGAAGGGCTTTACAGGTAGCAGCCTGTTGTACAAGTTCAGTGTAAAGTTGGTTTTCTATACCTGAAAAAATATTTTATTTTTTTGTCACTTATATTTCAGATATTTGAATACAGTATACATTAAGTAGACAGAACAATTTATTAAAGTTTCTGAAAGTATTTGTTAGTTGTACAGGTTGGAGAGGTAAAAAGAGAGAGAGAGAGAGGCTCAGTATTATCAAGAATGCATCATTTTGTTTTACTGAAAAATACAGAATTTCAGTTATTTTGTCTCATTTTTAAATTTATTCAACCATCAAACTAAGGAAATCAGGTTTTCATGTTAATTTCTCTTCCTTCATTAAATCCAACATTTATTCAACATAGTTTCTACTAGTGGGTTTGCTGTTGACTACAGTATTATGTTTGAAATGCTATTAGTAGCATATAGGCATGGGTCTTTTGCAATTCTCAAAATATATGGGTTTTCAAAAGCATAAAAACAAACAAACTTTTCACCACCATGTTGGTATATATTTTTGACAAACTTATGCATCATTATTATTTTTTATTAAATGCTATAAGCTATGTGGAATAAACCTTGCTATCTTAATTGTAATTTAAATATTTAAAATAATTACATTAAATTTATAAGATATGGAATATCTTTTAAGCAGAATAAATAACTAACACTATAAAAATACTTCCATTAATCATTTTTGGGAATCTTCGTAAACCCGTTATTAAATTTTTAATTTAATATTAACTTTAAAAGTTATAATTTTTCAAAATTCTTAAATATATATCTTATGAAAAAACAACCTTTATACAATTGGTGAGATTCTTCCATAATAAGCTCCTCATTTAATCCATCGATTATTTTACATAGCTCTTCCTTTACTGTTGTACACAGTTCGTTTAAGTATTCAGCATGTTCTGGTACAGCAACTGGGTCAATAGTGCCATCGTGCCATTTAACACGAAATATTAACTTCTGCGAATCTGACAAATGTTCTTCTAAGTGCATCTTCACTGACCGTAGTTTTAAAGCAGTGCTTTCATCAAGCCTGGCACTAAAACTTTTGTTTTGACTTTCATCAGAAGCAGTAGAATCATCGGTTTTAGATCGATGAGTAAACCTCCGTTGCAACCACAAACAGTGTTTATTCATGGAAGGGTCATCAAAAATTGCTGTTTTTAATTCATCTTCTAAGACTGAAATAAAATTTTATATTAGGTTTTAAAATAATAGCATTTCAGTTAAATTGCAAGAAAATGATTTGATGGAAAACATACAACACATATTTTAATAGAATTACCAGTAACACAATTCAGAAATGTTAACATTTTCTTAAATCAAAAATCTATTTTCAATAATACTTACCTCATTCACACTCTCCTGCCCTTCCTCCCCATTAAGAGCCGAGCTTAGAGACTGCAGATTGGGTGAGTCTCGAAAAAGTGATAATATTATCTGAATGAGGTGCTTATATACAGTATATAAATAGAGGGTGCATTGGTGTAGGTGGAGAGTGTCACAAGACAGATATTGCCAAGGACAATTAAGTGGGTAATAAAAGACTGAAGCAAGTGAGAAAAAATCAGACCAATGCTTAGATGGGAAAAGGAAGAAAACCCTAGCAGTTAGGTAATAGCTGTAGTGTGAGAAGAGGTAAATATATTTTGGAATATTGATTTTTCTAAAAACATATCTACTTGCATTCATTACATTATTAAAAAATCATGAATGCCAAGGACTTAGAAGAAATGTAAATAAAGACTAAATGTTTTATTTGGCACAACTGGTTATTAACTGGGGTCTAATTGAAAAAAAAAAGAGGGATATAAACCACATAGTTTCTCATCAGACACTAACTGGAGAAAAAGTTTCTTGTTGGTTTTAAACTGAACTAGCTTATAGTTTTATTTAACTGTCTTATTCTGATTGGGCTTATCTCCTGGTGTGTTAGTAGTAAGCTTATGGACTTACAATGCTAAAATCCAGAGTCTAATTCCCCGCAGTGAACAGAGAGCAGATAGCCCATTGTGTAGTTTTGCACTGAAATAATAACAGCCGATTGGGCTCCACTTAGAAACACATTTCAAGGTTAAGGGCTACATGATTCATATTATTTTATTAGAATTGCAGCTAGTATTTAGGATGAACTAGCAAAATTACCTTGCAAACCTAGGAATTAAAAAACTAATTTGAGCTCTAGCACATGATGTATTTGTCTGATGCAAAAGTACCCATTTTATGACTGCAATGAATGCCATTTTCATTCAGCATTGGCTTCCTATATTTTCTACAGACTTCCTCACTCAGTTGAGCCCTGATTAATGGCATTAAGACAGTAAAATTGAAATGACTGCCAAACTCAAACTGTTTGTCCAGCTCCTTATCCATTTAAAACTGAATCTTAGGAGGTTCTATTTGTGTTTTTCTCTCAAATTTAATCAAAATTGGTCCAGCTAGTCCATAGAAAAATTTGCAGTATTAGATAGATATATGGAACCTCTGCTATTATATTGTCATGTATCCATGCATGTGTAATAAAAGTCCTGTAACTGAGAAACATTTGGGTAAATTCCTTAAAAAAGTCATGGTTTAATTATTTAAATACATATCATAAATACATTTGAATAATAACAAATTAAATGTTAGTTATAAACCAGTTAAACACTATTTAATTCTTACTAACAGTTAGACACATATTGCAAAGAAAATTCTGGGGAATTATATAGCTGAAAAATATTACACACTTTTCAGTGAAAAATGTATAAAAATTGGTGTGTGGGAAACAAAAGTGACATCACAAAATCTTCTTTACCTCCAAACTTATAGAAGTTGGGTGATGGTGTATTGTTAGGTGTACTAAACTGATAATACTGTAACTCTGCAGCCTTCAGCTGGATATAATACAGATTTTGTTACCTAATGTTGATATAGCATGTGTAAGATAATAAGATAAAAAAAACATAATTGATAAAGCTAATTGTAAAGATATTTGGCTCTAAACATTCTCTTACTACAAAATAATCTAAAGATGAATGCATTGACAAAAACTACACCAACTAAGCTCCAACCTAAAGACGTAAAACTTCAATGAGTGGCAGTTCTTGTAATTAGCTAATAGGAGTTACTAATGAATCTTATTTTTGTTCTGATAATATAAGGACATTAGTATTTACCAATTAGAATTTACGTGAATGATAAAACATATTTGTGCTTCAAATCAATCAAACTCTTAATTTGATCATTTTAAGAACTTAAGAATTAAAGTAACTAGTAGTTTTCAAATAGAATTATGATACAGAAAGTTAACTTTATGTTGGATTATTAATGGCATCCAACAATATGAATTTTGAATAAAAATACTAAATTGTTTGCACAGTGAAAATATATGGTTTAGAAAAAAAATTACCTGGAGCTCAATAGATTATTAAATGGTTTTCTACAAACAAAAAAAAATTCAGAAATACATCTCAGTTTTCATGAGAATACATTTTGTTTCCCACTGAGTACCAGCTGGTTTGCCCATTTATTTATTTGTTTCCAACTGAGAAAAAAACGCACTGAACTAAATAAATCTTTCTTAGAACCATCATACTCCTTATAAATTTTGAATGATAGCTTTAGTGCTTGATTCTACAATACACAGTTTTCAAAATGACAATTAATAATTATTTTACTTCATTTTATTATGTTTGAGTTAATTAAAAATTTGGTTACTTTATATTTGCCAATATGAATTCATATTTTCATGGCTAACCTGTAGAATACTTTTCTGAGTAGGTAATTCACAAACTATATTTTTAAACTGATTGAACATTAACAATCAATTGAAGAAAATAATTGTTAATTGTCAATTTGAAGAAGATCCAATATTTCCATAGATAGTATCAAAACATAGCTAACTTGTTGTTAAATACTTGGACTTCTCTTCTTCTCCTAAAACTGCATATAGAGTCTCTAACATTTCTTTTGATTCTTTTCTCCATTCATTAATAGCCTCTAGTCTGGTGTCTTGTAATTCCTCCAGAAGACAAGGAAGGTGTTCGCTGATAGGACAAAGGATATAGGACAAAGGATTTGCATTTTCATCAAGAAAATACCATTTTTCAAACAGTTGTTTCTTCTCTTCAGATTCTATGTTGCTTTTGAAAGATTCAAAGTCAGTGGCTAAAATCTCTCGTGGTAATAAAGGTGTGTCCAAAATTTCATTAAGGAAGACCTTACAAAAATGAAAAGCATAGAAACTAATGATGACAAATACAGTTTTAATTTACTTAAACATGTTTATTTTAAAAAGGCAGTAATAGATCTTCTTTTAGGCTCATAATGTCAATAAGTAATTGATGATGAAAGTTTTATTCATCGTACATTATCATACTTTAAAAGATTGAATCACAATAAAAAGAAGATAATATTATGTCAGAGGAACATACAATATTCTGAAACCAACATCTCAGCTATGAATTTCATAAATATCTGATTACTCTCTTACTCACCCTGTGATTATATGCTACATAAAAAGTATAATCCAATTACTGAACTTATCTTTATAACTATACTTGTAAAATACAAATGACATACCTTGTAACTTTGGTAAATTTATCTCTAAAAGGACAATAGCACATACTTAACCTTGCTGATCCAATATGATTAACTCTATGTGCACAGGTGCACATCAAAGTGTGCACACTCTAACATTTTACTGAATGCTTTCTGTATGGTATTATGTATTTGATTAAGAATTATCAAATAGTCATTTCATGTTACATTGTTGACTTAGCAACAGTTCATGGTACAGGAGAGTAAATATCACAAAGAAGTAATGCCAATTATAATTTTGTGGAATACTTACTTTTTACATAACACCTAATGTTCCTAATTTTATCACTTTCAAGGTAAGTAAAACTTTTGTTAGATTCTCTGATTTCCATTAAGTAGTAAATATTTTTTCTAACTTATTTAATTAATTTAGGCAACATAATGTAATATATGTAATTAAACACCAGATGTTTTTTCATGAGATTAATGTGTTATACTATGAACACTACTTTACCACAGTAATAAGTTGTCCTCGTCCTCTTAATTCCCTGATAGTATCCAGGCAGACTTCCTTGAAACTATGGTCATCTAAGCAGTCCCCATTAAGGCCTAAGTGTAAATCTACCACATTGAGTTCATAGTCATTCTCAGCACATCGCAACCTCAAGTCTGGATAAATGCTTTCCATAAAAGCAGATCTTTCTACTTGAGTATCTGTATGCACAAAAATAAAGGAGGGAAAAAAAAAGAACTAAAGATGCTTTATGATAATCATAAATTTGTATATAAGACGTATATATATATATATATATATATTGTAAGCACAGTATCAGAAATACAATCCAAATTTAGTTTTTACACTAATGAAACAAGTTTTAGACTCTTTCAAGTTTTTCCAGTTGGAGGGTAGTTCCTAGAAAAAATTAGTTATTTCATAGAACATTTTGATAATTTAATAGATATTTAATTCTTTTAAAAACTATATAATCAGTGACTTCCTATACAAGGTAATAAAGACATGTATCTAAATAGTTTCTTAGTACATATCAATGTTTTCATATAAGTAATCTTGGTTCATTTTAAACTAAAAACATTTTTTGTGACTTTTACAAAAGAATTTGCCAGTATTTTATCTTTCAAGCATATACAATAAACAAATATATAAAAAGTTAAATTATTTCTAGTACAAAACCTTTTCCCTTAAACATTGATATGTACCTATACAAGTTTTAAGAATCACTACTTTACTTATGAGAGAGCCCTTTCTTTAGTTCAGTACTTATCATGTAATATTGAAATGTGTATGACATTCGAAAATGTTTCTCAATTCTGATTCTTTTTATATATATAACAGTATTTTTGATACACGTAACTTAATTTTATGTTACATCTGTTTAAAATTGATATTAGTAACCTGTTAATTTGTTTGCTGTAATTGTTATCTATTTATAATTGTGAGTTGAAATATTTTACTCCTATGTACATGGGTGCAGGTTAAAGTGTATATGCCTTGACCTTGTACAGAGTACCATTCAGTATGGGTTGGTTTTTGTTAAAGGGCAAAATTATACAAAGGATATGTGTGCTCTGCCCACCACGGGTATCCAAAACCTGGTTTTTAGCATCATAAGCCTGCAGACTTACTGCTGAGCCACTGGGGGTTACTATTCAACATGGTATTAGGCATTTGATATCAGAGTTATCAACTTTTCATATTAACCTACATTGCCAATTTTGCAACAGTTCATGTTAGAGAAGAGGAAGATTGTAGAGGCTTTACAAATCCAATTTGCAATCTGTACAATGGACAAAAAAAAGCATTTTCATTCTTTGCATGAAGACCGCCTTGTACTCCAACTTGTCAGAGTCTGATTCAGACTGATTTTGGCATTTCACAGAAATACTTTTAGTATGAAAATTTTTTGTAACACTTCTAGTTTTTTTGTTTAAAACAGACTTGTTTCATGAAGACACACTTCATAAATTCAGAATTATAGTCAACATTATTTCTCTATTATGGGGATAGTCCAGTGCCTGTGCACATTCAGTTAATTACAGAATTAGTTTCATAAAAGAATGTTATTCTGTGATTTATTATGAAAATATTTGTGCAATTCTAACTGGCTTTTAAGGCCATATATCTAACCATTATAGATACCTTTGACTAATAAATTTCAGAAAAGGTAGGAACAGGCATAGAAGGTGAGGCAAACAAAAGTATGAAGATTCAAGATCTGAAAGACAGGATAGTCAGTTTGGTAGCAGGCTAGAGGAATATCACCATTTTGTAGTTCATGTAGATGATATTAATCAGAAACCTTAGTCATGTATGAAATCATTTAGGGGCCATTTTAAACATAAACACCAGCAAGTCACTCAAGTAGAAGTATTAAATTGCTCTAGGTTTTATACACCATAATAAGCAATAGTTTGTTAGAAAAACTGTAACTCTGTTAAATATTGGGATAGAATTAAGGTAGGATATAGCTGTTTTCCAGATCTGGCTGCATTGCACCAGAATGATAAATAGAAGTTATTCCAGAAATTATATATATGACTTTGTTTGGAACTTTCAAATTAAGATTAGCTAAGTATAGGGGAAAATCATGCACTTTTAATGAAAATAGTCCACGTTTATGTAGATGTGATAATAATAGATATGATAATAATTGGAATAAGGAAGTTGAAAATAAGACATCCAATTCCTGTTACACTATTACTAGACATTTTTGAGATGCTAAAGCTGGATATTTTAGTTTCTGTAAATAAGATAAATGTTTTTGTAATTTCTAATAGCTGATTAAATGAAAAATATAAAGATGCAACTTTAGAAGGAAGGAACTCTTCTGTTTGTCAGAAATGAGCTAAGTGTTTTGATAGAGATAACATAAAAGACGTATAAACAGTTTGGTGTAGAATACCTAGATTTATGTTCCTGAAAAAAAGAGAAAAAGTACTGTTTCCCCCCTCTCATCAAAATAATAGTAAATTAAGGTAATTAAGATTATGTTTGGAAATATTCCTATTTTAAGAATATTGACAGGGAATATTTTTTCATATGTGAATAAGGACATGAAATAGTAGGAAAAGCTTATATTCTTTCAGTGTTTTTGAATACCTATTATAAAGGATAGTATTTGGCATTTTTTTATTAAATCAATAGTTCAGAAAAGATATTTGGAAGACATGCTGGAATAATGAGAAGTGTAAAGTGTCCTGTACACGATATATAGAGAACTAGAGAAGACTTATTTCTTGCATTAGAGGAATATGGGGTTGTCTAGAAAAAAAAAAAGGACCCTATTCTCATTATTTAGGAAAGACTAAAGACTTTAAAAAGTGTTTAACAGTGATAAAAAAAGCATAATACTTTTATTAAACCAGATTCTGAATTTTGGAAAGAAAGGAACCTGCTTTAAATGATGAAATTAAGGGTTACTTGAGTATACATATGCTCTTTTAAGAAATTACAAGAATTTAAGGTTTAGTAGTTGTAGGTGTTTGTTATTAAGCACAAAGCTACACAAAGGGTCATCGAAACCCAGTTTCTAGCAGTATAAGTCCACAGACATACCACTGTGCCACTGGGAGGCATTTGAGGTTTAAGTGAACTGGAATTCAAGGGTTTAGATAGGCTGCTTATGATTGTTCTTACTGAATTCAGGATTGAACAGTTTATTACTAAAAACCAGAATATCATGAAAAAAAAGGTATAAACAGGAAAACTATATCCAGACTAGCTCTATTTTTAGATTTATCAACTTTAGATATGATAGTCCTGATGATGTACAGAAGTTAAAGTTTTGTTAGACAGCTTTATAGATTGGTAAGATTACAATAAATGAGTTTTATGTGTGGCTCAGGAAGCTAAATGGAGATCTCACTGAGCTCTAAGATGTTTTTTTCTTTGGACTTGGTTTTTATATCAACTTAACTGTGGAGTATAACTATACTTATAAGATACTTTGTACTGAAAAAATCAACACTGTACCACACAGTGCAGTGATGAGGTACTGAATATCTTTCTTTTGTGCAATATCATAATATTACTATGTTTGTGAACAATCAAAACAAACAACTGTATTCATGAAAATTGGTGTTAAATTTTTTTTGGAAACAACTAATTGTTAAACCTGAATAATTACACATATAACAAATAAGATATTTTATACCATATATGGTATCTAAAGTAATAATAATCATGCGATGAATAACTTGTGAAACATTCTTTTTTAATTGCCAAATAAGACTAGCTTGGCTGGTTTTCCAATTCTGCTGAATGATGAATATAGTTAAGGCAAGTAAAAATAAATAATAATAAATAATTGGTGTTAAAATAAACAATAGTATGTTATTAATCCATACCCTAATTATGATTAGGAAATGACTCAAATAAAAATTGATAATAATTACACTTTATCATTTCAATCTACTTCATACTATTACAGTTGTTGTTCATGCAGTTTGATAAAATAAATAACATTTCAACCACTACTGTGTTTGTTGTTGACCTGGTATTGGTCAAAAGGCCTTGTTGGCTGACATATTGTTATATATTCTTCTGTATTTTCACTGTTAAGTTCCTAGAATTTCTTCTGTAGTGCAAAATATTGCCACCTTTAAGAGGAAACCAAAAAAAGTAAATGTTAAAAGTTACAATTTGAATTTACTTAATCACTTATGTGCTGAAAGATTTAAAACAAAACCCAAAATAAACAGACCCACGTGGTTGTGGCATTTACCAAAATCGAAGATATTTAATATCAATTGCAGTTTATACAACTATTTCTTATCATCTCACCAATAAACGTTTAAAGCCTACCATTATAATCAGCACTGAAGTAAAGAGATATCTGTCTAACAGAACATGGTGGTAATGGTTCCTCAAACCTCCCAAGTAACAGTGATCGCACTGCTTCAGGAAATTTCAACAAATCTGATAAGCCACTGCCATCCTTTTCAACTGTTGTTTGGATCTAATTGTAATTAACAGAAGGTCAGTTTTTAATAGATATATTCAATGAACAATAGAATTGATTGAGACATTATAGGTGAACAATTTATCACTTATCTTATATTAGAATATATTCCAAAGAACTTAACATGTGAGAGATGATGTTCAGACAGCATTTTAAAATTGTGAACCATTTATCAACCAAAATTATATTATTATAATTCAAAGAAAAAGGAAACAAAATCATTACAGGAATACAGACTGGTAGTTCTGTTTTACACGTCTGGTTCCCAGCATGTAAGGTAGGCTTCATATCAGAATTAATGACGGGTAGCAAAATAGCAAACTAAAGTTCACATGCATAAATTATTTCTATTAATTTCAGGGTAAAAATCACACCACATTATTTTCTAAGTTAATAAGTTAGATATCTACAAAAATCTAAAACCTATTACTACTGTTCTCATACCTGTAGTTGAAACAGCACTGTATCAGTGTCTTCAATGCCCTCACTAATTGTTTTCTACATTGATTTACATAGTTAATAAAGAATGCATACAAACAGATGAAGCAGAATACAAGAGCAGAAATTAAGTTTTTCAAGTATATATATTGATGTTAAATATTTTTATTTTATTGAAATGTTACTTTCTTACTGCAGTGAAAAAAAGTAAAAATGATACCACATCACAAGTGCTGTGTTTACAGAAAAACTGCAAAATAATTTACTTTTACATAGAATTTAAACCATTTCTGTCAACCTTCACAAAAGAAGTCTTGCAAGTTATATTGTATAATCCAGAAAGAGTCCAAAAAGATTAATGGTCTTTTGCCTACCAGGATTTGAAGCACTGGCCTCCAATAAGTAGTGTAATGTTTTAACATATAAGATACAACATTATAAGAAAGCCATCAAGTTAGCCATGTCTGACTTACTGTGGATGAAAGTTTTGGAACAGGTGGAGACTGTGGGGTGTCTAGATCTTGGGTGGACACTTCTGATACTTCTTCAAGCTGAGATTGATTGGCATCATATCTTGGAGGAAGATTAGTTGCCTCACTGGGTACAGTCCCCCAATCGTTAACTCTGGTTGTTGGTGGTGAGCCTTTACCATAAGGAATACTCTCTGTGGATTGGGCAGAACTTCTACGTTTGCTACCCAAAGGAGAGCTAGCAAATTATATAGAATTTAGTTTGTTGATTGTTTTCATTATTCTGTAATATTGATGATTTAGTTATCTTTTTTCTTTGTTTTATTAAACAACACTCTCTACCAGTAACGTAGTAGTTTTCTACAAAATTAAATTAAATTTGTTTATTTTTAAGTCCAAAAAATCAGCTCAGTATTTATCAATGTTTTTAGTAGCATTGTCTGTTTGTAGTTAAGCACAAAGCTACACAATGGGCTACCTGTGCTCTGCCCACTACGGGTATCGAAACCCGGTTTCTAGCGTTGTAAGACCGCAGACATATCGCTGTGCCACTAGGGGGCAGAGCAATGATTGTCAGCCCGTTGAGTATCTTTGCGCTAAAAAACAAACAAAATATAATATAAATATTTCGTAATCAGTCTCAACTTTATTGTTTTCATTAAAAAAATTCTGTTTGTCAGTGATAATAGATTAAACTTTTTGTATATTAAGTCCATATAAAAAGTTTACAAACCACCGTCCTTAATACAACAGCTTCCGCCGAATGTTTCAGTTATTTAAGATAAAAAGTTAAGGGTCTTCCATAATTGTCATAATTTTCAGAAGTATGCAAAACGTACACTGGAGGAGCGAGGTCAAGGCTGTCTGTACACATTTTTAGGATAAAAAGTGACACTATTTTTTACTTTTGAGATCTTATAATATGGCTTGGGGTAGACTTAAGTGATGAGACTTTAACTGAATTTTAATTTATGAGAAAAGCAGATGGCCATAGATTTCACTAGCAACAGCAGGGCATCAGGGTGTTACACGATACAAAACAGCAAAGGACAGGCCGAAAAAATAAGTTTGTAATAATTGATATACTTTAATAATGACACATTGAATGATAAAATGTTCATGTTAAGTATGGGAGACTTTATATTAATATTGCTAACAATTATCCCCCCCCTTAAACTATGTTTGGAAATGCACATAAGATATCTAGTGTAGTTTGTATATATTGTGACATGTTGACATTAGACTGGAGTGATAATATTATGTTATACTGTGTATTTTGTGGATTTTTAATGTCATTAGTATTCCAAAGGTTATATGTTATTACAAAGGTTATGTATAAATCTTATACATCTATGAACTACACCACTGTAGATTGTGGTTTTACTCGTTGACGTGTGAAGATTTATCTTTGGCTCAATATCCAAAATGTTGACATGCGCATTTATTGAGGGTAGGAGGGGAGTTACGGGGGGGGGGGGATCTGAAAAAGTGCACGTTTTGTATACCTGAAAATGATGACAATTATGGACGACCCCTGAATAACACAGTTTTTGTGAAGGGCAAACTTTTTACTCTTTTAAAAGGGTAAATTAGAACTAAATTGACTATATTTATATAAAGCCATAATGTAAATGTTTTTAATTTTGTCTCCTCAGTTATAGTTATACTTATAAGTGACTTTAAATTTCTTTATTATCTCTAACCTATATAGTACTTTAAACACGTGGGCTAAAATATCGAGGAAAATGAGCAACTATATTGGTAAAGTGAATATGTTATTGCTTTTGGAATCAAAATGTAACGTGTTCACAGCTGGTTAGGAAGAAACCTCAGAACTATTCGTCGTTACAAATGCTAATTTGGTCTAATAATGATTTCCATAATATGGGAAAGAAATATTACTGCATTGCACGCAAACAAATAACAGCAGGTTAGTCCAACACAGGTCTGCGTTCGTACTTCACTGAACTACAAATTTGGAAGGCAAGTACACTAATATGCGTTGTGTATTTCATGCTTAAATTGAACCCTATAAATTGTGGAGTTTAACGGACATTTAGAGTGGTCAGTTTTCTACTGACGCGTTCATTTTCTAAAAACAAAAGATAAAACTAAAAAAAAAAGTCTAAGGTTTACTACGCTAAGACTGGCAGTGTGGGTAAGGCAAGACTTGTGTAACGTGCTTTTTCGTTGGTGATATATATTTGGGCACAATTTGATATAGCAAAATACATTAATTCTATTGGCCTATGTTGGAAATGAACATGTAAATTTATGAAAATGAAGCACATAATCACCTATATACGAAATAATGTAACTTTTAGTTTTTAATTCCCTGATATTTATTTTTCAATAGTCTTAGACCCTGTTGATGCAAATAATTTTTGAATTTCTTGGGTTTGAAAGAAGGTAACTAGTTGTATCAAATGAGTATAGTAAACAAACAACGATATCCATCGTGAGTAAAGTGGCGATATTTACACATTTTGGTTTAGTTACAGAAAGGGAAAATAAAACTTAATAGACAAGTTTAAATATTTTACTTAAAAGCAACCTGTAGTACGACCGCACCATCTTTAACCGAGATATCAAAGTTCAATTAATTTCATCTTAAGCTCATTCAACGTGAAAAACACCGGTAGAGTGATAATATAACAACTACCATGTGGTTTTTGAAATATCCAAACGTACTTTAGTCTGAAATTGCTCGAACACTTCAGAATTTATTAAATATGTGTACACACTTCACCTAAGATCGATCATCAAATGTTAAAACATGTAACAGTATTGAGACATGCCCTTAGTCACGGTTGAACTGGTCTGAAGCTCGTGAATGAGTTATTTGATAATCGACTCCAGCTTTGAAATTTTTAAATTACTCGATATGATTTAGGCTTAACTCTTGTTTGTTTTGAAAATTATCAAATATGAAGTTTCAAGTATTATTCCTGAGAACTGTTGTACTTTATGTTTATTCTGTATTATGTTTAGGGGTGTTATCAGGAATCAGAGGAAACTGTATATGTGTTTAAACTATCTTTTTGTGAACAATAAACTCGGTTTTCTCGTCTGAAAGTAACTAGGTCAGTATATATGTTTGAAAGAGCTCCTAAGCTGCAATATAGACAAACCAGAGATTTGATACAAAGATGGAAACATTGGTAAAGATCAGTTATCATTTAGTTTCATAATGGTTGGCCAAAATTAAACAACAATTTGTACTTATATTGTAACTGAAAAATACAGCACACTTAAATTTGAGTTTTAGCTACGATAATCTCATTAGAGAGGTTAAAGTAAAGTGTATTGTAGTTTTTAATTATCTATATTATAAGATTATTAAAGTTTATGGAACTGTTCAATAAATTTCCTTAAAATGTTTCTCACAATGTTTCGTGGATTGTGGCCGGTTTCATCATGTTTTAAAATTAAAATGACTGGTGTTCTTAGATTAGGGGAAATGTTTTAGAAAAACTATGAATGAATTATTTGATCTTATACGAGGTTATTAGGTGTTTGGTGAACAACAGTGCTAAAACAATTCAGTAACATTTGAATATTTTAACGTGTTTCCTTTATTATACTACTATTTTAAAATTATTCGAACAGAAGTTTTACTTAACTATTTATGAAAGACAATAGAAATTTAAAATAAGAATTTATGGTGGATCATTTAAACCTTTAAGGGTCAAAAATTCATTTGTTAATAATCAGCGTATACATAATATTTTATCCTAGTTTTAAGTTCGAAACAGCGCAACTTTTTACTCATCAAAAGAATACGTATTATTGGAAATAATTATCAAACCTCACAGAAGGTACAAACATGAGTCACAAAAAAATTGGTTATTCAATTAAATGGTAAATTTATCAGTAGTACATTATATTTACTACAGAAAATACACAAGACGAGCAAATATGTTGTATGATGCACTAGTACTTTGTAGTTTATTTAAAGAGAGCAATACATCTTGTTTTTATGCTACCTTATGTTTATCAATGTATTACTGTGAAATATTGTTCCAAACGTTCTTTATTACTTTCCACAATACGAGTTGTTTTGTTGCAGTTTGACCTTCTTAGTTCACTTCTAAACACGTATAGCGTTAATAATATTCATATCGGGAATTCCTGCAGGAGTGAGTGTTCCATTAGCCTCCATTTTCTTCCACTTGAGGTTAATGTTTGTTGGAAGATGAAACACTGCCCATCAGGTCTTGTTTCTGAGGGAATGACATGATGTATAAAAATCTCATTGTACCTGTCAACAGTCAGGGTGCCATCAATTTTATGTAGTTCTCCAACATTGTTGGTTGAGATACAGCACACGTGTGTATTGATCTTTCTGCATGCTTCATTATAGATGTTGTATATTGGCCTTGATAATGTTCTCTTTGCTATCAACAAACAAATTATCGTTGATTTTAGGCACATAATTTGAATTTAAAGAGCAGTCTTACCCCAGTTTTATACATCCTATTGATTTGGTTATCCCTCCTAAGAAGTAATTTTTCACAATTACGCATTTATTGAGGCCAATTCGTGATACTATGCATCTTATTTGCTCCTGGAAGCAACATTCACGCCTATACTTATAACTAGGACAGTTGGCAAGATCTCTATTGGAATGTCGTGTATCGCGTAAAGAACATATCCCGAGTTATTAAACATCACTTTTGAAGACTTTGGGCTTTCTGTCTTGACCACTTCTATTATAAACAGTTCCAGTTTCGTGTCAGAGTTTCTATACATTCCCTACTAAAACAAAATTTCGCCTCAGTCTGTGGCATGAAGTAGTCCTTACCACCCAAAATTTTGATTTCTGTACATTTGTCATGTAGCATACCTGTACTGGGAGTTATGAGTGATTTCACCATACCAATGCTGTCAATTGTGTGACTACCTGTATTTTTATAGGTATTATGCTAGTGTGACACTGTCTAATTGGTTAGATGACAGCCAATCACATTATATACTATGAAACCACATCTTCGTCTCATTATATTGATTTTTTATGCGCTGGCTCATTTTAGGCTCTTAATGAAAAACCTCTTTAAGTCTTTAGAGAGAAAAGATATCAAAGATATACTAAAAAGATATTCGCTCTACTAACTCGAACGTTAACATTTTAATTAAGAAACAAATTGTACTCTTTACTCTATTATTATTATTCTTTATCGAGAACTTAATATATACATGAATTTAAGTTGATTGGTAACAAATTCAGAGACTTGGCAAAAACCATTAGATATGCGTGATCCCTACCTATAGAAATGAAAAAAAAACCCACCCAGAATTTAGTATTTACGTGAATCTATTGTATGTAAATAATACAAAAGTTTTTCCAGTATTCACCCGATTTTGTGACAGACCTGCGGTAAAAATTATTACTTTGAGATTGTTCAATAGCTCATACAAACATTTTACGAAAAATATCTACACCAGTACACGTGCATAACAAGTATTATAATCGCGAACATGTCACCTGCCTTAAACAACAGCAAATATGTAAAGTTTACCTGCCATATTTATGGATTATGCTGCAAAGTTATGCTTTAACACAGCAGCAGACGTAAGAAAAACAACATGACATTATAAGAAATAAGTTTCTGTAGGGTACAGTATTGACACTTGTAGGGAATGTTTTGCACATGGAAACATTAGTTTGTGGCAAGCCTCGTGCTTCACGAAGAAATTTAGACTTCTGAAACTTCGAATATGCAAAATGCTCATGGGTAATGCGAGACACCGTGGAAAGTTTGCAAGACTACATATTTTTGCAAATCTTTTTTCATTGAAGGATACATAAAAAGTGTTTACACATTGTTCATTGCACATAAAAATTGTTTACACATTCTCATGGCATTAAAGCCAACAATGTACAACACAAAAGGAGGG